CCACCGGCCGTGGGCGGCGCGCCGGGGCCCGGGCCCGCCGGACCCGGAGGACTGCATTCCGGAGCACCGGCTGCCGGCCACGGCCTGTTCAGCCTGCCGGTGCCCTCGCTGCTCGGCTCAGTCGCCAGTCGCCTGTCTTCTGCCCCTTTGACAATGGCCGGCTCGCTGGCCGGGAATTTGCAAGAACTCTCCGCCCGATACCTGAGCTCCTCGGCCTTCGAGCCTTACTCTCGGACCAACAATAAAGAAGGGGCCGAGAAAAAGGCGCTGGACTGATCGGAAGGGTTTTCCCGTATTTATATTTATAGTATCTATTGTGGTGATATTTATGGACTCACGCTTTAGGCGCCCGGGGCTCCTGCGCTGCGCTCGGCGTCCACCGAGGCCTCTGACAACTCTCGTCCCCCACCACGCTCAGCTAGGATTGCATCTCATTTGGGCTAATTTTTCTACCTTTCATCCGTGTTTTTGTTTTGTTTTTTTCGTACCCAAACTTCCTTCTGAATCCAGGAGACATCCAAAGAATTTGTAGAACCCCGAGTTAGCCAACCCGATGCGATGCCCTAGCCACTGCCGGGTGATGAAGGGACAAAACAGGACACCTGCTATGGTTTGTGCCGCCGCCGCTGCCGCTGCTGACTGGCCCTATGCTATTTCAAAGAGGGACGTTGCACGCAGATCCAGGGACTGTAAAGGCTTGTAGGTTTCTTTAGACCAAAACAAAACAAAAAAACCCCGAGGACATTTCTCTGGCCAGAAACACCAGGGCTTTGGGGAGCCCTGGGCTCCAATTTGCAGACTTCTCGGGAGAGCCCACGCACAGACAGCTGCCCAATTGAACAAGTCCGGCCTCCCAAGTTTTCTCCTTTTTAGAGGACTTCCATCACGCGCACTTCATCCCAGTAAACAATCCTAAACGTGGTGGGCCGCAGTGGTCAACAATAAACTCCGAGTAATAACTATCACAACAAACCAGAAGAAGTGGAAACAGTTTTCTAATACTCATTATAATTGATGCAAGAAATTCAGGATAGAGAATGCGCCACCGGGCAATTTCGCAAAATTTAAGTCCTGGGTTTTGTGACTTTAATCCGGAATTCAAGGGGGAAAAGCAAAGGAGAGGTCAACGTCGCGAAGGAAAGCAAATTCATCATCTTTTCTCCGAGGCTGTTAGCAGCGGGTGGCTGGCTACCACAGGCTCTTCCTGGACAGAGCTTGAGGCTCTCGGTCGGCCCCCTCCACCCACACACACCGGCTCTTCGCAAGGCCTGTGGCTAGGGTTTGGCTTGCAGAGTTTGAAAACGAGTCAGTACCTATGATCTTCTCTTCCTCACTCGGATTCACAAGCGCTCGGGAAATGGGGATTTCAGAGCAGTGCTTTGCAGACCCGAAGGCGTGACGCAGACGCAAACGGAGACACCCAGTCGGTCCAGCCTCCAGCGTCCGTAGTCTCTCCTGGTGCGATTCAGCAACCTCGTGGCGTATAGGAAAGACATCCTCTCTTTTACATCTAAATCCCAGGGTTTCTTTTGTCCCAAGTCAGAAACCTGGGCCGAGGTGCCAACACGGCCTAACCCCTTACCCCGCGCAGCAGCTACTGTCCCCGCAGTCAGGGTCACCCCATTTTAACCAAAATCAGACCGAGACCGCGAGGTGCCGCAGTGTCTAGAATGTATTCTCCATCAGAAGCGAGCGCAGAGCATTAAAAAAAAAAAATAGTAATTTTATTGTAAATTATTTACGTCGGAGTTTGGGGGTTTTTTTTTGGCTTTTTTTTTAGGCAAATAGTGAAGAAAATAACGAGCGATTCACATGCGGGTAGGTGTCACAGGAAATCTGGCTACTAACTTCGTTCTGAATGTTTTGGATATTTGGATGTTTTGTATTTATGTGGTGAGAGTGAAATATATATATATATGACGATAAAAGAGGTGTATTTTTTGTCTTATATTTAAAGGAGAAAAAAGCAAAAACAAACACAGGCGAAGAAGAGAAGAGAAGGCAAACCCTGCAAATGACCAGGCTTGGCGTGGGGACTCAAGGGGCAGAGGGTGGCAGCCCCGGGTGCGGTTTGGGCGGATTGGATTTGCTCTCCTACTCTTCGTTGTCAGTACCCCTGTTTGTCTTCATGGTAGACGCCCCTCAGAACGTCCTCCACCCACTCCAAGTTTCTTGGTTTATTTAGGAACTTGTCTGCGGGCACCCTAAAAGTATGCCTCTCAATGTTCCTAGTTTCCAGCCTTTTACAGCCACACTTTCATCCCCGCAACTTTTCGGATTTGATGCGAACACAAGGCCGGAGCAGGCAACTTTTCCTTCCACCTGACTTAGGGCGATCCTCCCTGCTGTCGATGAGAAATCCGAGAGCAAAAGAATGCATTGGATATTTGTTCTTGCCTAGGGACCTCGTCCCCAGACCCCGGTACTTTTGTGGTGGTGACTCGAGTAGAGATTGCAACCCGACATCTGGGGAAGCTGAGCGGGCTAGGGATGAACTCCATGATGCGCATCCCCAGGGGAGCTCTTGTTATGGCGCCTGCACCCCTGGATGCTGCGAGGACCCATAGCTCCCTAGGGTACCCTCACAAGTCCAGCCCCTTGGCTTCCTCCCGTAGGCTGTAACTGAACCGCCAGGTTGAGGCATCCGAAATCAGTCGGCCCCGCGGTGTGAGCGTGAAATTCTTGCGCCAGGCCCCGGGGCTTTGGGGCCTTCGCGGTGAGCTCAGCGTTTGTCCGGAATAAGAGCAGCTGTAACCCATACACAGTCCACTTTTGTTTCCCAAAAACGCTGTTCACCCCTCAGTTTCGCCACCTCGACTTTCTGGTTCCTTGCGCTCCTTTCAGCTCTTTCCGGCTGCTTCGCTCCTGGCCTAGAGCCCCACGCGCTCCCTCTGAAGTTTGCTCCTCGGTGGGCTCTCTGCTTCTCTCCCCACATTCTTAACCTTTCTCCATTGCTGCTGCTGCTTCTCTTCCTCTTCTTTTCACTCTTCCTCTTCATCCCCTTCTTCCATTCCATCCTTCCAATGTCTTCAACCTTTTGCATTCCCGCCTCTGCCAGGGTGGCCTCAAGGCAGAGGCGGTGGGTGGCGCTGGCTGAGGTTTCTAGGCTGGGGCCAAAAGGGGCAGAAAGGAGGGAGAAAGTGGCATAATTTTATGGAACAAAAGAAAACATAAAACCCCAGCGTCAGCCTCCTCAACCAGCTCAATCCCCTCCCCCAGGGGCCTCTGCCTGGGGAGTCACCTTCCAGCTTTGATTCCTCCTGTTTTTTTGCTCCCTTACCCCTAACTCTGGTAGCGTAGTGGTTAAGAATCGGGCTGTGAACCTTAAGATCAGCAGTTCGAAACTACCAGCTGTTCCACAGGAGAAAGATGAGGCTTTCTACAGGGTCGCTGTGAGTCGGCACCTAACCACCACCACCCCTAGCCAGAGAACACACCAGTACCACCACTTCCCAGTTCCCTCCCAGCCTTCCCTGGCTTTGGGAAGAGCTACCGCCAAGCTCTTCCTGTCACTCAGGGAGGGCGATTATTCTTAGAGTGCCTCACCGGCACAGTAACAGAACCACAATTTTAATTTTAAAAACATTTATACACAATTCATTTAATTTTAGTGCCTGTCTTTGTTTTCCTCCTTCCCCAAGGGCCTCCAGCACTCTGATATGCTCCCCAGGAGTCTCTGGAGAGGCCTCGGGCAGGTGGTCCCTGTAATAGAAGCCAAGGTGGTCAGGACTCCTAGAGAATATCTGGGGTCCTGGGCAGTGGTGACAGGAAGTTCATTCTCAGATCGACACCAAGCAACTGCCAAGTTGGCTCAAAGAAAAGGGAGCGTCTCCTAACAAACACTTGTGACTTGAGTGGACAGGTGTAGGGAAGTCACCTGGGAGTTGGACTGGGACACATACTCATACCCACACGGACAGCTGACCTAACCCTGAGCCAGACTGTTGGTAATAAACCAATCCCACTGCCCTTCAGTGGATTCTGATGCACAGTGAGTGAGCCTATAGGACAGACTAGGACCGCTCCTAGGAGTCCCAGGCTGTACATTTTTATAGAAACTGACGGCCACATCCTTCTCTCAAGGAGCAGCTGCTGGATTTGACCTTACAGTTTACAGCGGAACTGTCTAACCTCTGTACCCACAGGGGTCCTCATAATAACTTGCATATAATAGTTCTTTATACTTTACAAATAGAATTTCACATCTACCATCTTTATTACTTCTCCCAGCAGTGGAACGTGTAGTCCCATTTTAAAGATCCACATACCGGGGTCAAATTACTTGTGCAAGGGCATAAACAGTCAGAACTATCAAAATTGAAAGCTTTCACCAGAAACAAGAGTCCTTGTCTGTTCTTTCTCCTTTTTCTTTCCTCCCTCCCTCTCTGTCTGTCTTTCTTTCTTTCTGTTCTCCCTTCTTTCCTTTTGTGCCATCAGTATCTGGCTAATAGCACCCTGAACTCTTTAATATATTTGCATCCACATCTGCCCACTCTCATTTCCAGTCTTCTTCCCACTGGATCAGCTGCTGAAGATTGACTTGGTACCTCAGTCAGAGAGAACTCAGCCTGCATTTCTGCCTCCTTCCTGTTTTCTTTCCTGCCAGTACTCCAGCTCCTTCCCTCTAAGATGACATCTTTAAATTCCTTCCCCTCTTTGTCCTTACATCTCCTTAAAGCTTTTCTAAAATATTGAATGTAACATCCATATGGTAAATTCATATGGTAAAATACAAAAAGGTTAAGTATACAAGTCAATGAATTTTCATATGCACACAACCAAACTCTTCCCAAGGGAGACCTTTTTCAACTTCTCTCCTTAGGCCAAATGGTGCTATTGTGTCTCTCTCTTGTTTTAAAAGAAATGGTGTCAAATTGGTGTGTTGTTTTGCATTGAAGACCTTCCCAGGAAGTTTAAGATTTCTTGAAGGACTTAAAAATCATGCAGGTCTTCCAACATCCTCCAGTCCTGGGTTCTAAATTGATCCAAACTTAGAACTCACTAGGTCAGCAAGTCTACAGGTAGAACTGAAGACCACTCACTTCAGAATCACCTGGGGACTGGTTAAAATGCAGATTCCTAAGCCTCAGCCCAACCTGAGGCATCAACTCTGTGGATGGGACTGAAGAATGTGCATTTTTAACAAGTTTCCCCAGTGATTCCCAGACAAGCTACCATCTGAGAACCACTGTGCTAAGTGGCAAACTCCCAAAACACAGCAGCTTCCAGCATCTGGCCCAGGGCCTGGCATTTGGTAGGAATACAATGAATGTTTG